AGACTTTCAATAGACATCTCAAGAAAAATTGTTTCTGCGTGAAACATCATGTTTATGAGTTAAAATATTTCTTGCAAGGAGAAAATTTAAATAACCGAAGTTTGTAGCATTTTTCGACACACTTTAAGTAACCATCGATGTTGATAAATTCACTTGTTCGTTCAAACTGCTAGAATTAACTGTTGAGTTCAATGATCAAACTAAAATCACAAAATGAAGTAAACCTAATTGAACATCTAACAAGTAATAGATCGATTTCACTGTTACATATACGTTCAGTATTCTTATTATAGATTTCAAATGTATTATAATTTGTTGAGGAATAAAAAATAGTCGATGAATCAATAACTTTGATTCAGAGATAGGCAACTCCGACTCAAAGTATGAGTTAACTCCGGAGTTGACGCTTTTCCTCGTTAGAGTTAGGGTGAAATTTCAGAAAATAGGAGTACAATTGTATGGAGTTGGAGCGGGACAGAGTAAAGCTGCTCGTCTCTAGATTTTATGCGAAAAATTTATACAAGAACAAATTAATCTGTTACTCACTGATATCAATCGAAGGTTTAATTATGTTCAAAAACTTTTATATCTTTAAAGCTGTATTGAAAGAAGTTCAGTCTTGTAGAATCGGAGTTGGGTGGAGCTGAAGAATTAATCAGAAGTTGGAATTGGAGTAGGATTGTGGCAAAAAAAAGTGGAGTTGGAGTGGAACATAGTGGCGTTGCCCATTTATGTGTTGATATAGCTATTTTAAATGTGATTTCATCTTTCGAAATGACTTAATATAACTGAAATGTTTTATAGAAAGACCATCAAGGGATAAGATTTCATCATTATTTTACTCATATTATCGTTGATAATAGTAGATCTCTAGTACTAAGAGTAGAGATGTGTTTATTATACGTAAGTAACGAATTATTTTTAGAAATCCATAGATATAATATCGCATGTGCGTCTGCTAGCAAGTCAATATTCAATATCTCACTTGTACACAAATATTTCACTAGTGAATGAGACTTATTCATAACGATAGATTTAATTTTATGATATATAATTATTAAAAAAATTTCATTTGTGTATTTGATAAAAACGATTGCTCTCTATAAAAAGTGCTGAAAGTAAAACTTTCTACATTCATCATGAATCAGTCACAAATAACTAGAAGTTATATCACAGTTAGCAGATAGTTTTTCATATCTTTTTATAAACTCGAAATTGCCTTAAATCATTTTCATTTCAAGATAAAATTTTTATCAAAAAGAAACAAGACAAGAAAAGAAAGCTGTTGAGAAATTTTCAATGTAAATACGCAACATCGCGTTTTAGTATCAGGCATGTGGTGACGAAGGAGAAAGGGCCGTTGCACAAACTCCACTTTGTGAAAGTTTTATTTTCTTCATCCTAAAAGAACATTCTTATTAATGAAAAAAATATTGAACTCCACTCTTTACGTTTCTTCGTCACATCCTTGTTTAATGTGCATGACGAATATTATTAAGACAGTGTCTTGTTGATAGTGATCGCATGATGCTTAACACTATGCGTATAATAGTCCCAAGAAAAATGAATCTACTAACACAAAAAATGATTGCTTCATGTGACTAACCTATTGGGCAAAGAAAGAAGTAAAACGAACCATCGATAGTGAATGTAAAATACAAACGCACGAATGAAATAGAACTAGGAGGTGTCTATATGTAATTTGTTTGTTTTTCTATTTCTATCAGTGATAATTTCTTTGTTGAATACAAGTTTGAAAAGTAAACAAAACACTTGTGATATTTTATTACATAGAATGGTATTAAAAATTTTCTTTAATGAAAATCCTTTAGAAAATTTTAGTTATAATAAAGACTATCTGTTGACGTGTTCAATAATAAAAATATGTCATAAAACATCAGCTATCCAGTGAAACAATGTTTCAATTATAATTGAATTATTGTGCAAAAATTCAAAATCATAATCGATTTAGGAGATTTTGTTCATAAAGAAGCGGCTAAAAATCTACTAAATCGATTATTATCTTGATTTTGTGGCACACGGCCGAATAACAACCGAAGGTCTTTTTTCATTGAATACGATCCTAAGGGTATACTAATGATAGTAGACGAGAAAGAAACATCAAAGAGTAAAAGAATGAGAGAGGCGTTTTTTACACATTTATGCAAAGAGGCTCGATCTTACGAGTAAAATGCACGAGAACCCTCTAAAAAAAGAACACCATTTTCTTCATGCGTAAGACAAATAAATTGACCCTTATATATCTTTTTTTTTACTTGAAAACTTCTCATTTTTTTACATTTGTTTAAATATTTATTTTGTTTTATATAGATTTTATGTTAGAGAAAATATTATAATTTCTATGACATGTTCACGATTTTTATTCTTTGCTGGTTTAATGAAAACGAAAAAACAACTATACCTTCCTTATAAAAGCTAGAAATGAAATAGCATTTGTACACAATGATTTTTCTTCTTTTACATTATAGAATTAATAAATTCATCATATATATATATAATTCCTTAAAGAATACCGACGATGCCTTCAATCGTAGCTGCTATTGAAATGGGTGGTACAGGATGTAAAGTAGCAATAAGTGATGATAATGGACAATTTACTGAACAATATTCATTCCAAGTTGTCACAACAACACCAGAAAATACTTTAGGTGAAATACATGATTGGTTAGCATTAAAAAAATCTGAAAGACCCTTTCTTGCAATTGGTATTGCATGTTTTGGACCTATTGATTTAGATAAAAAAAGTAAAACTTATGGATATATTACAACAACGCCAAAACCAGGATGGCAATATGTTAATGTAGTTGGTGCTTTTCATGATCTAAATGTTCCGATTGCTTTTGAAACAGATGTTAATGCACCAGCAATGACTGAAGCGGCCCTTCGAGGTGATACATCAGCAGCTTATATTACTGTTGGAACAGGTATTATTATTAAATTTCTTTAATAAAACTATTCTCTGATATTATTGTGTAGGCGTTGGTGTTGGTCTCGCTATTGAAGGTCGACCAATTCATGGTTTATTGCATCCTGAAGGTGCTCATATTAAACCCGAACATATATCTGGTGATGATTATCCTGGTTGTTGTCCATATCATAATTCATGTATTGAAGGTATGTCATGTGCTAAAGCAGTTGCTGATCGTCTAAGTATTTTACCAAGTCAACTCAATACAATTCCTGATGATCATCCTGTATGGAATATTCACGCATATTACATAGCACAATTATGTGCATCAATTATTTATCTTACATCAATTCAACGTATTATTATTGGTGGAGGTTTAATGAAACGACAAATTCTTTTTAAACATATAAGAAAACATGTTCAACAAATATTAAATGGTTATATGGATCTTCCAGCAATTACACAAAATATTGATGAATATATTTGTCCATCACAACTTGGTGATCTTATTGGTATTCAATCAGCTTTTGATTTAGCACAAACAGTTATACAAAAGTGAATTCTATATTAAACGGTTTTTTTTTAATAGTAGTATCTATCGTTATTATAGTAGTTTTAAAGAACAATATGCAACGTTTGAAATCTAAATAAAGGAATGAGATTTTATCAAATACTCAAACGTATAATCTCAGGAAATATTTATCTCATCATTTGATCGAAGAAAATAAATGATTTTTTTTTATAATTAAAAAAAATAAAAATATCATTTTTATTAACATGAAAATGTCTGTAAAGATAAACAAAAAAAAAATTCATTGTATAAGATGAGAGATCAAGCAAATAATATAACAAATTGAATCAAGTGTACAATTATTCACCAATGTTTTTTTCAAACAGAATCTATGATTGAATCAATTAAAAATGAAGATTTTGTTGTTTTTTTTTCTTTTTTTTATAAAAGTTTTCGAACGTTTGAAGTATGAATTTTTACTGATCAACTTGATTTGTAGAATTTTTTTTCAACGCATATATTATTTCCATCTTGATCATTATCTTGAGGACAAACAACTGATAATGGCGAACATGGTGGTGTTGGTGGATCATATCGAACACCCACATATGGTTCATCCCATTTTTTTCGTTCATATTTTGAATTTAGCGTTGTTGGCATTACTGTTGATATAAATTGTTGTTTATTTGTTGGGGTTTGATGTGATTTAGTAGATGATTTTCGATCTGTTATTTTTTGACGTCTCCGTTTGGAAATAGATGTGTTTGGTAAAGGTGTTGTTTCTTTTCTTTCTACAAATGTAGTTATAGCTGGTTTTTTTTCTAATGGTTTTAATAATTCTTGTTTTAATATTGATTTATTAATTTTTGGTTTATATGAAGGTAACGGAAGTCTATAAACTTTTGTTGCTATTGTATTGATTTCATGTGCAAGTTTATTATCATCATTAATAACTGTATTTTTACTTTTTATAGGTGGTAAAAATTTTTCTCTGATTAATTTTAATTCATTCATTGAAGGCATTCTTTCATTTGATGAAATAATTTGAGGTAAAAAGAGATGACTTTCTTCTCTTATAAATGATGTTTGTTTATCAGATATTGTTGGTGAAGAAATATTAGTTGGAAAAGAACTATGTGATCGATTTGATGATGCACTACTCTTACTATTATGTTCACTATTTGTATAAGATAATGGATTACGAACAGTAACAAATTCTTGTGTAGCTAAAAGAGCTTGATTACTGTTAGAATCATATAAAACATATTCAGAATCATTACTATCTCGTCTAGAATCAAATATTAAAAAAAAAAAAATATATATATATAAATATAAGAATAAAATTTTTTTCATTTACCGTCGTCTTTGTGCAAATGTTAATCCCCAATATTTTTTCCATGAAGATAATGTATAAGTAGTACTGTTTACAAAATCATTTGTTGTTCGAATTGGTTCTGGTTTAATTGTAACATGTTTTGATAGTGTATCAAATAAACGAGAACTTCGGTCATCAACATTTGGTAAGATTGATGCCGATGTAACAGCTGTTCCGGTTCCTATTATTACTTTTAACGGTTCTCTGTTACGATTTCTTTGTTGTTGTTGTTGCTTGATTTTAATCGATGCAGACATGTCAATAGTTGTTCCTGGATAGTATCGAGCCATTTCATGATCAATAACTTTTGGATCCATACTATGTAATCCATCAGATATATTAATATAACGAAGTGGATCACGAGGACATCGTCCAATCCATCGTTTCGTGTGATTAATAGCAGTTGTACGATCATGTTGATGATTATTATTAACAGTTGACAACAATATTGGTAAAGTGATTTGTTCAGAAGTTAATCTCTTTTGTATTCGACCAATATTTGAAGGAATTTCTGTTGGTACGGACGGTAAAAATTTAATAATGTCGACCATCGTTTTTAATGAAATGACAATAAATAACTTCTTTTTTTTTAAACTAGATTGTTTCCATCGACATGTGAATAGTAAATGGCTTCAAAGTTCGTTGCTTGTCATTTAATGGTGTTGTAATGTTTCAAATGATTAGTATGTTTGCATTTATGTTTTCAAGCGATTACTCTTTTCAAGATAAATATAGAAGAATAAATACTTATATAAAAAGCATATTTTTGCTTTAATGTTCGACATTGAAATGTTATTTTTATAGCAGTAAATATAGAGAATTATATTTTTTTCAAATGATTTTTTTTATTCAAAAAGATATTATTAAATTACAAGATTTAATTGATGAAATAATTCTTTTAAATTTATCTATTCATCAGATATTGGTTGTGTAAGATTTTGTTTTGATTGATTGATTGATAATTCATCATCTTGATCATCGATTTAAAAAATAAATACGAAATTGTGCAATATCGATCTATAAGATGATATTGATCTAATGATAGATAAGGTAATTGAACAAAGATACAATGAAGAATAAATAATTGAATATATGTTAATTGATGACAAATTGAAATAATTTTTTTACTAACGAAATGTAAATAAAAAAAATTACACTCATATAAGTTTTTAAAGTTTACTCAAACCTTACTTGTGAAGAAATAATCGATGGTAATGACGATATAACAATAAATGGTCCATAAAAGAAAATGAATGGAGAGAATGATGGAGTTGAATTGATTATAAAAGAAAACGGCGAACAAATGGATCGATAATAAGTATTTAGGCTTCATAAGATAAATTCATGTTTTGAATCTATTCTAATTTGAATATTACCTTCGATATTCCTGTATTGTTGTTTTATTTCAACAATTGATATCATAATAGCAATCAGAGTTGCCGACAGGTCATTTGCTTTCTTCTGGTCTGGTTTAGAATGCCTGCAACACAATTGATATTTTTTGATTTTTTGAATACGTTTAATTGTATTACTCTGCATTAATATATTATTCTAGTTTGAGTTGGTCACTTAATTTATTTCTATTAAGATAAGATAATAAGAAGCTTTTGCATGAAATAGCAAATTAAAACAAAACGACAAACATTATAAGTATTTTTCATACAAGATAATGGCTTGAATTAACGTTTTGTTTTTCATCATATCAGTTCTGTGACGCATAATCATAAAAATAAAGTAATCATGATGGCAAAAACAACATAGGATTAATCATACAATGAAGAGGTAAAAGAAAATTTACAACGAAAATATAGAGAATAAGTGACACTTATAGTAAAAGGCAAGAGCATTTATATTTGACAATCAATTTTCGCAACAGTTCGAGCGCAAAACTTACTCTCCAATTGTTTTGTATCTACACATGTTCTTCTGTCAGTCAATGTCAGTCTTACAACATTGAATTGACATTTGGTTCAAGGATATTTGTTACTGAAATGGAATGAATTTGTCAAAATACTCTCGAATAATAAGGCGATGCATCAACATTTCGTTTTCAAAATGTAAGAGTTAGACCAACAACTTTGATCTGACCTGTTAACAAGGCTGAGTATTAAATGGATGAATCAAATCAGGCTAAAATTTCAAACTTTAGCCTAACAGACACCTACGAGGCAATAGGTCAAGCCAATAGGTCTAATAGGAATGATCTCCATCAGTTATTCATTGAATACATTATCATTTTCTAATTCATGTGACTTTTCTATGTATAAGAAACGAAAACTAATTGATATTGGAGTAACAAAGTATTTATTAATTCAAACAAAAAAGAAAAATAAAATAGTACTTATTCAGATGTTATTGATGAGTTTTTTAGTCTTTTAGATTTATCTTTTGGTTGTGGTGCATTGACATTAGTATTCAGATAAAACAATTTTAATAAACGCATTGATTCATCACCTTCAATTCCACTCGTACATTGTAATGGTAATGTTCCAGGCATTGAATCTTGTGCAATATCTAGCACAGAACCACAACCACCAAAACGATCATTTGAACATCCATAAACAATTTGTGTTAAGCCGGCAAGACGTAATGCACCAGTACACATCATACAAGGTTCACAAGTAACATAAAGAACAGATTCTGAAAGAAGCTAAAAGATCCAATAATAAGAATGAGATTGAAAAAAAATCTATGTGAAAAAAAAGAAACTTTTTGTGCAGTTGAAAGATCATGTTGAGCAAAAAAACTATCGAGTGCACACATTTCAGCATGTCTTGTAGCATTTTTCAGTCGAACAGGTTCATTCTGACCTGATGCAATAATTTTTGAATCATTATGAACAATTACACAACCAACTAAATAATAAAATATGTATTAAATAAAAAAATTAAAATAAAATAATATAATATCAATAAAATAACTTTATTTACTAGGAACTTCTTGCTTATCTAATGCATTCTGTGCTAATTTAAGCGCTTCAAGCATCCATCGATGACCTGGATGTTGCTGTTGGTTTACTATTGACATATTGATTCGTGACCGAGTGGCACGAAAAGCAGTTAAAGGAGAAACCCCAATGGTTAGAGTTAATCAATAAAAAGAAAACTGAAAAAATAAAGACTATTTTAATGTTGCAATAACAACATCGAGAAAAATGAAAGAAAAGATGATCACATTGCATCATCTCTGATTTTAGATCGCTTTGTTAAGATATTTATTTGTATTTAATTGAACTGAAACAAAAAAAATCGATTTTTCTTTTGCTAAATCAGATTGTTGATTAGCATAATAATCAAAATTCATGTTTACAAAATACAAGCGAGAGACAAACAACAAAATTTACACAATAGTCAATTATTATTATGTAGATTTTAATGATTTTGTTTTGGTATTAAGTTCATGTCATACGGTTTTGATTACATCATCATTTGTATCATAAGTATTACGTTCTTTCCAACGCTATCATGTAGCATAGTACGATTCAATGCAATACCAAATGAACTAAATACGAGTCAAATATTGAATAGAGTAAATTTTAATCTATTATGAACAATTTTTCTTCAATCATTATAATTAATAATATTTATCATAAGAAACAGGTTATTAATATGAAATAAAAAAAGGTGACTTTTGTTGTTGTTTTTTTTTACATGTAACACATTTTTTAAAACGATTATATAATCCAATTATGTTGATCAAATATAACTTTATAACCAAATCAATGGCGAATTCTTGTAGATACTAAATCGTTCTTCTGTTTTCCATTGAATGATATTAAATATAAATTAATACATTGATTAGCAAATCATTTTTGTCAGTTAAATATTTCTAATAAAGTAAATTCAATGCAAATATTATATATTCGTGCAATAGATGGTATATCAGATGATTTGCATGCATAATCTCGTCAATGTTAATCTTTATGTCATATTGTATTACAAAAAAATTGATGTTGATAGATAAAACTATTCCATCATTATTCAATACTTTTTTTTGTCTATTTGATTATCTGGTGATATCATATTTAATGGATGAACATCACTATTACCTTGTTATCATCAATTAGGACATTCACTTGAATCAGTTGATGTTTCAGTTTTTTTTTTTGGTCGTAGAAGATGAGAATATTGACTGATTGATATCAATTTTAACTAAAAAGAACATAGTACAAGTTTTTATTAGGTTTATTAACGATTGAAGTTATTCCTCTTTGCTTTTTCACATTGGTTATAGAAGGCAACCAATTGAAATTATTTTATTCGTTGTTATTATTCCTCTTTTATATCGCCTTGCTTATGTTCTGTCATAATAGCGAATATTAATGTGTTCTTCCCGAATATTCAACTAATTTAATAATCGATTAAGTTTCTAATTTTATTGAAGAAAAAGTATTAATATAGAATATGATAGATCAAAGTTTGTTTAATAATATTAACTAGACAACTGTATCAATTTTAAGATAATAAAGTAATAATCCATTGAAATTTTGCGTCACATACTATTGAATAGTTTTAGACTACTTATTTAAATTAGTATTCATTCATTTACGGTCATCTGTTTGCAAAGAAATTTAAAATGGAAAGAATCTGATATGAATAGTGTGATTAGTTTAACGTGATTTTTAATGAAATATTGTCTTTTTCGTTTTACCTACTAAATCACATATCTAAACCAAAAATTTCGCCTTTTTCTTGAGTTAGTTATACTGTTGAAGAAATTTTGATGTTATTTTCGTTATGGTAAACTTCATTATTAATCTGTTTGTTCAATCATTGATCAGAGATAAAATAAAATAATATTTCATTGTACGATCCTCATGTGATTAACATAAATTTTTGGTTCATAGTTATGTTTGACATACAATGACTCGCACATCAATAGCCCATAAATTGTATTTTAGACTTTGAATTTAGAATAATTATATATAACTTGAGAAGTTTTACAAGATGATAAAGAAAAAGTTTTTCGATATTTTGACAATTGAAATTACGAGAACGTCAAAAATAGAAAAAAAATGATCTTTTTATATTGAAGTTTTTCTTGAATTTTGAACTTCAAGACTATTTAAATCTAAACTTCAACAACAAATATATTTTAAAGTTTGGAATAAAAAGTCTTTACGGGCTAAAATTTTTCTTACGAAAATTTTAAATTAAACAAAATTTGAATTTATCGGTAAAAATGAATACTTTGTCAAGTTGTGTAGTCAACGTTGGAAAAGAAATTTGCAATTCGATTGATGTACAGAAAAATGTTCACTTTTTTCACGTATCTTCTCTCAACATCTATCAGCAAACATTGAAGTTTTTCACTATTTTATATATTTCTCAGAAAATTTATGTAGAAACATACGTCAAGAATGTCTTTCATGATCATTTGTATTTACTTTTTATTCTAGTACTTTGTAATAACATTTAAAACAATGGGTCGATCCATATACACTTTGTTTTTCGTAAAAAAAAAGCTTATGTGTAAATTATAAATTGAATATTTTCAAACAAACTATTCTAATACAGTCTTTTTTTAAAATTCTTTCTTTACGATGAAAATTCTTGTCATACAGGGAAAAGAATCAATTGAGAACAAAACCGATCAAATGGTATAAGTAACATTTATCCCTCGCAGTAAATGAGATCTTTCTGATTTTTTTCCACCAGTCGGTTTGAAAATGAACATTAATTATGTAATCTATGATGTTACAAGCCATGATCTCTTTCTATCTTTATGTATTATACATTGCAAAGTGTTTTCTGAGATACATGTCACATAAAGAACGGGTACAACGAAACAAAAAGTTTCTCTCAGTTAGAACATATTTATCAATGTATCAATTTCGACATATTATTCATGAACTTTCATTGTATTATTTTTCTCATCGTTACTTTCGTAGTCATGATCAGAACCTCCATTAACAACCATCTTGTCCATTTTTTTAGTAAGTATAATAATAAAAATATATTTCGAATTTAAGGAATTGAATCGAATATATGAATCGTACTTTCTTTCTACCTGTAGTTGGCGAGCTGTATTCAACAATGTTTCGATTTATTTCTGCATGAAGAAACATCATATACTGGTTCTCCAATACAATGATGAATACGTGACACATATAAATTACTTATTTTTGTATAGCCTCTTTATACAAAACATCAATAAATTAATACAAAGAGCATCTATTCATTCTATTGTATTCTTACGTTTTACACATACTCATGGTCCACGTGCGATAATAACGACCTAGTTCAAGTATAGCTTTGCATCAATACAAAATTTGTCGTCGACGAAGATGACAACGGTCTCAAATATCCACATCGACATAGACATGCTAACATGTCCGATTAGTCTTCAAGTTTTTCGTGATCCTGTGGTAGCTACTGACGGCTATGTCTATGAACGCGCAGCAATTACACGATGGATTGCTGAGAATGGTACGAGTCCACTGACTCGAGAGCCTTTGAAAATTGATGAGCTATGCTCTGATGATCACTTGCGATATCTAGCTACACAGCAACGAATGTCCATAGTATCTTATCATCCAACTGATAACTCTGTGATTGTTCCTTCTGTTAGTGGATCGTCCGTCGATCAAACTGATCATTCGACTAATCAAACTGAAACAGAGTACAATATAAGGAGATCAAAAGCTTCCGGCGCGACATGCAAATCTGTGATATGCTTTACGGTGATAATTATCGCTATATTTGCAGTCGCAGTTCTGGTCAGTCTTACTACCACGTCAAGTAAATCATCTCATTCCGATATCTCCACGACCACATCATATATATCGACGTCTACTTCATGTAAGCTGATTATCTTTCTAAACATTCTTTCATTCATGTCAATATGAGCCAACGCTCAGCATGAAAGAGAAGGTAGCTAGAACGAGAACTGTCACAGTATCCATGTTGCTTGATTCAGTTTAACACCAAGTCTAATCGAACACATGTCTAACACTGATTTTCTTCTATTCTCGAGACTCTTATGAAAGGATACGTTGTTATCACGGGCAATAACAGACAGTTTCATTGGTTCTTAGTAGCAATAAAACATCAATGTAAAAGCGAATTATTAGTAAACTTTGATAACATTGAGAATCTTCAATTTCTATATGTTCTGCATATCTGTATTCACAATTAGATACTGGCTAATATATTAAGTGTTGGTAATACTCTATTATTGTATTCGCAAAAATTGATTGCGATCGTAGTAAGTAAAACATGTTCGCTTTATTGTACACGAACAGCTAAGGGTATTCCTACATAAAAGAATAGCGATAGATTTCTATCTTATTCTTCTTCTGTTCATTTGAAGATAAATTGAGTTTTCGATGAATACATGAAACTTGTATCAGATATACTTTTAAGAAATGACGAATATTCGAAATTTTCATCTGTAAAAAACGTATCGAATTCTAACTATTCTAGTATTTTTGTTATATAGGGTTTCTACGGCCACCTATTTGGTCATATTCGCCTGTACTAACTACATCTAGCCCAATTTACCGTTGCTCTAGATGTTCAACATCATCACACTACTATTGGACTCTGCACTGGATTATTGCTACAAGTGGATCTCTTAAGTTCGTGATAGACAGCAGTTTCTCCGCGTATATCGATTGCTACGTTGACGAATTCATTCCATCTAGTCCAATGCAGAATCTGTTTGCACAAAGCAATGGCAATATTTTTCATTGGGATCTTGAGTCTCATCATATCTACATTTTAGTTGTGACGGGTGTATCCGATTATGTGACGGGAAAATTCACAATTAGTATATATGGTCCAAATGATTTCCGATTGAACACTATTACGTCTCAATATCAAATCAATGCAACTACAACCACGAACATTGTCGAAAAGACAGACTACCAATCACCTGGATCTGAGTAAATTGTGGATAACAATTATGTACAGATTGCAAAAAATGTACTATAAGCTTATAGGAGTAGTTTGTCTATATGTATAAATTACTCTCTGTGTGAACTCTTGCTACTTACTGATTTATTTTTTTGTTTCTGTCAGTTGACTAAATAGTCAACATTAGTTTTGCTTAATGTAATGGCACGTTGGATCGTACTTGAGAACATGCAACAACTGGTATTCATATAATAAAATAGTGTAAGATAGTGTTCGGCCGAGTCAAGTCAGACTTGATTTTAGAAACATTTTTTTGAGTGTTCTACATTGATTTGGCTTGTACATTGAGAAAGTTCTTACTTTCCTAGTTCTAACATGGGAGAAGAGCAAACATCAATCATTGATACAATTGGCTACCATTAGACTTCTGAGATTTTCAATAAATCTAAGAGTTACTTTAGATCATTATTATTGATAGTTAGTGAAATTAGATTTTTATTGCTTCTAATGGACTATTTGATACATAATTATCAGTTTGAGAGTGTTTTACGAGCTATTAAACATATGCTAGTAGTGTTCCATGAACGACAATAAATTATTGGTTCTTTGTGGGAGAGAAAAGAACCGATGATATATATGAGCTGAGTAAAGTTAACTTGAAATTATGAACATTTCATACATTGAAAAAAAGACGACACGATCTTGCTTTCAGAACTACCAACAATCTGGTTTCAGTTCGTTTTCGTTTTATCCAATTTCAAACTATCGTCTTCCTATAGTACTGTTATGTATCAACAACTCCACATGTAGGAATACCTATTCTGTTCTATTTGGCTACTAATAAACATAAAAAATGACAATATGACGTTTTGATTATTTCATTTTTCCTTACAATCTGCTGAATAATTGCATGTTTGTTTTGGTTAACGGTAGTAAAGACCTATTTATCTGAAAAAGATTGGAATACAAACAAATGAAATCGTAAAAGCATCTTGTCGTTATCATCGTCATATTTTTCATTGTGAAACATCTAAAGTAATTTCGAACATATAAATACACCACAGTATACAAAAAAAGAACTTCATTCTAGTATTTTTTTTCAATGAGATTCGTTCAACTGATTAGAACCTGAGTCCCTTTCTCACTTTTTATTTCGTACAAATATTTTGTCAATATTGGAAGAAAATAACTGCTGAGAAGAGTAACAGATTATTTTTTATTTAACCGCATTGAATGCACACAGCAATTTATCATATGAAATAAGGTGAAACCATATTCGCATTATATTCATCCGTAAATTTGTCAATGAATCATAAATCAGCAAGATTGAAATGAAATAGTAGTACAATTCATACATTATATAAATTCGATTTCAATTTTCGAATCAAAAAAGAATGAGAACAAGAAAAAAAAAGATGTTGGTGTATAAAACATTTAATGTATCATTTTGTTCATATACGTAGAACATTCAATTGATAAAAACCAACGCAAACAATTCACTAAAGACAGCACACTCAAACAAAGTTACCTGCCATCTAGTACTCATTATAAATACATTTTTTAAGCGCTTGTAATATGTAGTTTAAATGTACACAAGTACTCAACTACTGCATTAAATATCCAATCTCTATCCCCTTGCTGGAATAGTGGCGATATTTTGCCACTTCTTTTCATTCAATCAGCTGTGGTCTTCATCTTATCGATCGATTATCATCTTTTTCTAAAAGTAAGCATTTAGAATATCATTCACATTCTGATTCGATCGATAAATGGATCTAAAAATTGTTGAATTTGCTTGTGTTTATTATTTGTCGAAAATAATATTTTTTTTTGATCATGGGAACGTAGTAAATGATAATTACAATAGATTTTAAATAAATAGGAAAAAAACTGTTTAGCTGGTTAGTTCATCACCACAGGCGGCGGAATGTTTTGAACCTAGTGTAGGCTCAACAATCTTTATAAGATCCTCAACGGGAAGTTAAGGATAGGGACAAAGATGGAGGAAGAGGGTGAATCATTTTATGCCATTTACATGAAATACAGTTAGTGCTCCTTTTTTTCCAACTCACACTTTGTACTGGATAAAGTTGATACGATGCAGAAAAACGTTACATCTCATATCAAAATTTGTATACTTGAGGAAACGTGCCAACATTTGTCTTTAATTAGTTTTGACTCTCGAAAGAAGAATTTTCGATTCGTTTTACTGAAAAACAAAATAATGGTGAAGCAGTAGCGTTCACAAAACAAAAATGAATTCAATTGTGGGTTTGCTCACTTTGTTGTAAAGACTTGTTAAACATACAAGCTTAGCCACCAAAGATGAAGAAGACTTTCAACAGCTTGTAGTTTATGTAATTCGAGTTTCTCGTACAATGCTTCTTCATTTATAACAAAGGAATACTACTTCTAGCCATTGACAATGTAGGATCCAACGTTTAATCATACAAAATTCAACGTTTCTGCAAGAACGTCTTCTAAGTCTGGTTCACTGTGTAAATGCTTCTATTTACAGATGACGGTGATGAAACATTTTTATTTTTATACAAGACTTTCTATGCACTGTGTAAATCTATCAATCTAATAGAATGAGAAACCAATGTTTGAACCTACAATATATGAAACTAGGTTAGACTTCAGCCTATCTAAACCTCGTACCTCTGCAGCCTATGTTCATCAACAAAAATGAATAAACAATTAATCCAACTGATATTGTACGATTTTGAATGTAAATTGAAAATTGAAAAAACTAATAAATAGAAACGATAACATTTCTAAAAAAAAACAATCCATTTTCGCATTTTTGTCATTCCATTTCATGTAACAATGTAATTTCGTCATATATTTATTGATTTTTGCAACTATTAGCAATAAAAAATATGTTAAAAAGACAAATAAATTTATAATTATTCACATGTTTAATATCAGCAAATGATTGTGGATAATGTTGACAAAGATTATATATTTCCTAGAAATTTTCATTCTATTCTTTTTCCGAGATACAAAAATTCATATCAAAAAAATTTCAGATTGTAATGAACTATAATAGGTTTTAGTTCATACATACACGATCACTTGACCTATTGAATAACTTCTATTAGTGAAATTCATTATAGAAATAATACGATGAATCATCTATATTAACTGTTCTATTCGATAAAAAAAAACTATGATCACACGTTATGTCCTGGATTATATTTTCTTTTTTTTCTTCTATTGTTTTCATTCTTACGAATCGACAAAACAATTCTATGTATGTGCGTTAGTTAGGCAGTCAATGATTTCAAACATTTCGTCCAAGACGGCAACTATTATATCTCAACTAATACTGAATAGATAAATATTTATATTTTTCTGTTTTTTTTTTTATTTTTATTTTTCAGAAATGCCTGAAATTGGTTCATGTGCAGATGTAAATTGTGATGAAGAAATCAAAGACTTATATGAATGTCATTGTTGTTCACGTCTTATTTGTTTAAATCATTTAATTGAACATGTTGAAATAACAAAACAAAATAAAAAACGATTACATAGTCTTGATAATGAATTAAATACAGTTATAACTACACTTAAATTAATTATTGAAGAAAAACTAGTCAATATTGAATGGGAAGAAAAATTAATTGAAAAAGCAAAAAATTTTCTTGATACACACAATTGTTCAATAGATGATATTCAAAATATTTTTGAACAAATTAATCAAGCAATTGTATCAAATCATCCAGGTGAAAATTAATTGGATAATAGACTTTTATTTATTATTTTTTTGTTGTTATTTTTTTTTATAGATGAAACAATTGTGAAAGTTGAATCTTCATTATTAGAAACAAAAAATTGTTCTTGTATTTGCATGTGTAATAGAGAAAAAACTAACTTGAATGGTAAATCAAAATTTTCTGTTATTTAATTTAAATTGAATTATAATAGATCAATCATCATCAAGAACTACTCGTTCAAAATCAAAGTATTTTATTTTCTATTTCATGTATTTGATTTCATTTATTTTTATTAGATCTGCTACTTGTTTGGATTCAACAAGAAATACTGGTATTTAAGATAACAAAACTTCAAAAAGATTAAGTTTTTTCTTGTATATTTAGATGTAATAGAAAATTTTGGAACTTCAATAAGTAAGTTAACTTTTTTTTTTTTGATTTATAAAGGAATAATAAATATGATTTAAGATGATCGATATTCAACGCTGATTAATCATGATTTTTCTGGAACTGTTTTACTTGAGTAAGTTTTCTTTCTTTTTGTTAGAAACAATCTAAAATTGTTTGCATTTATTTCTTTCGTTTAGTCAAATACAAAAATCAACTAAGGTTAAATAATTATATGTATGAAAGACTTGATAAAGTCATTTTTTGAATTAAAAACATCAAATATTGTCTTGTCTTATCTGTTATTTATTAAACATATCTATATAGTATAAAATTTGAAAACGAGTCGCTTTTCTTTTTAAACTAGACTAATTATGAAAAAAAAAAACGAAATTATAAAGTTTAATACATTATTCGAAAAATCTAATTTAGAAATCGATATCTCTCATTCTAGTTTGGTCAACAGTGAACAGAATATATGCCTATTTTGTTCTTATTTTTGACAATCATCAAAAATCTGTTGGTGCAATCACTATAGGATTAAAATGTGAAACATGATGTAGCTGCTGTTGCTAATCATAGGAGGAAAGAAGAATATCTCTGCCTTTCGATTACCTTGTGGCATAGTGTGCTGTCTAGTGGCAGCTGTCAATAGTCTGATATTTTCTCTACAACGAATATTAGCTGTAGGTCTTGATAGAAAACCGGCCTGACGCCGAGTTCTTACGCTTAATTGTTTGAGCTTCCCATACATAGTAGTTAATCACAAGAACATGCGTATGTCATATTGTAGTCAGCATGCTATTGGACGGGTGATCCGAAACAAACAGTCGTTGGTGACTTATCCACGATTATTTCATAGTTGGTGATATCGAGATTTGAACACAGTACCTAGTGGATACCTGTCGAGCAACGTAGTTACTCAGCCGTGAGTGTCCGATAATCGCAGGAGATTGCTGTATTCTATCTATTTTTGAACATATCTCTTTACCATCTTTTTACTTAATCCTCTAGAAATGCAATAAGGATATAGTTCATGTATGATAACGAGACGTTATTGATATACGGTCTGTGATAGTTTTTGATTAACGTCTGTCACGATCTGTGGAAGGTTCAAATTTCTATCCTATATACGTCACCGTGTTTCACAAAAAAGAATAATCAAAAGGTCTACTAGATTGAAATGCACCACAGTTCATCTTTTATATTTACTTTCTAATTTTCACGTCAATTAATCCATTCTTGCTTCATAGCACCAATATGTGCCATTCTATAAAATTTTAGTTCTCTTGAACTATAGGACATGTAAAAATAAATTTTATATCAAGATATAAGCTTATGTATTATAGATGTCAAAACAAAAATCTAACGTTTGATGTGAAAAGTTTTTGTTGCCAATCAA